AAAACTGAATAAGTGATGGTTTTCAGCAACCTGCCAGAAAAGCAACCCATTTATTCAATCCAGGTAGATTAGATTTCATAATTCCTAAAGAAAGAAAATATTTTTTCTATCATTTGAACTAAATGACAAGGCCCATAAAATATTCCTGAGGCACAGCAGATCCCAACCTACAAACAAAAAGTAAGGTGGAGTAGGGTGCTGAGGCAATGAGCAGACAGTAACAGGAAGAAGTGTCAAGCAAAAGTGGCTCCAAAGCCCGAATTAAATCCATCCTTGACTTCATTATCTACTTAATTTCACTTGTACAGACACAACCACAGGATGAAGACACCAACAGAGGGTGGGCCTCATAAGTAGAAATAAGATGGCAGATAAAGTGCTTCTGACACGGACAACAGAATGGAGAGAGCTTCGTGAGCTGGGGGCAGAGGGGAAAGTTTAATCATAGGGGCACACGCACCTGAAGCAAGCACCCGGCAACTGGAAATCAGGTCACCACAGCACCCACAGGAGGCTCAAAAAAGGATAACTCCACCTTTCAAAGAATTAAAATCACTATGGGTGGGGCAAGAGAAAGAAATGAGTCACAAATCTGGAGGTAAAATGAGATCTCTGAGCTAATAACCGCAAACAGAGAAGGCAGAGGAGCCTTGAGAGGGGTTCGTTTCTTGTTTTCATAAAAGGAAACTATCTACTTCCATTTAAAGATTTTTTTAACTTTAAAAACCTGGGTACTTGTGAGGATTAGTTACACAGGTATTAATATACCTACATGTGAAGGCAAGGTTTGGGCTTCTGACGAACCCACTCCCACCAGCGGTGAGCATGGTACCTGAAGGGTGGTTTTGTATCACTTAACCCCCCCTCTCCTCCCTCCTTTAACAGTGCCTGGTGTCTGTTGTTCTTGTCCTTGGGCCCATATGTGTCCAGTATTTAGTACCCACTTATGAATGAGAACATGTGTATTCAGTTTTTTTGTTTCTGTGATAGTTCACTTAGAATGATGGCCTCCAGCTGCATCCATGTTGCTGCTCCAAAAGACATAATTTCATTCTTCTTTATGACTGTGTAGTATTCCATTATGTATATGTACCACATTTTCTTTATCCAGTCCACCATTGATGGGCATCTGGATTGGTTCCATGTTTTTGCTATCGTGAATATTGCTGTAGTAAACATATAAGTGCAGGTGTCTTTTTGGTAAAAAATAAATAAATAAATAACCTATCACATTTAAAGATTATTTATTGAGCACCTCCTATGCACAGAATGAAAGAAGCAAAGTTCCAAAAATATTCTCATATCCAACAACATGGCTGAACCCCTTCCATGTGCCAGGTATGTACCGGAGTTTGTAGAAACAAAAAAAATTATTCCCAGTGACTGTCCTAAATCTTATCAAGGAGACAAACCCACAAAACAACTAAAATGCAACATGGTACCCTGTGGATCATGCAATGACGAGCCAAGTCTAAGTGTTAGGAATACACTCTAAGTTGGGCAACCATGTAACTCTTCATTTAAGCCAGAACACTGAGAGTAGAAGGGAAGTTATCAGCGATTACATGGGACCATGGACATAAATGGGAACTGGTCCTGGACAAACCAGGGTAAACAAAAGTGATAGAAAAGAGGTTAGAAGAGAATGGGATAAAATCCACTGGGATGAAGCAGCCAATTGTTAAAGAAAAAAGGAATTGGAGGAATGAGTAAGGCAGTGTAATGAAAAGAAATAGCCTAAAGGAGTTTTTAGAATTTGGAAGTTGAAAGAATCTCAACAATAGACCCATTTGATTCTACTACAGAGAAAACTGGGGGAAAGAAAACCAACATTTGTTTAGCACCATCATGTACTAAGCACTATGCCAAGCATTTAAAAAGCATTATCTTATTTAGTCTTACCTAGAAGATAAGCATTATTACCGTCAGTTTACAGATGAAGACACAGACTCAGCGTGTTTAAGTGTCAGAGCTGAGATTTGAACGCTTGCTTGTATAATTAGCAATACAGGCAGAATTAGTACCCCAGATTTCTAATTGCTAGGCCACTGCTACTTATACTGCACAATACAGGCTAAGTGAGGTTGTACTGGGCGGAATAGTGTTCCCCCCAAAATTCATGTCCATAAGAAACCTCAGAATGGCCTTACATGGTAATAGACACTTTAAATAAATGGATGTTATCAAGTTAAGATGAGATCCTACTGGATTAGGGTGGATCCTAAGCAATGGCTGGTGTTCTTATAAGAAGAGAAAAAGTTGGACCAGACACACAATGAGGAGAATGCCATGTGAAGACACAAAAACACACAGGAAAGAACACCCTATAAAGATGGAGTCCGAGTTTGGAATGATATGTCTACAAGACAAGAAATGCCAAGGATTTCTGGCAACCACTAGAAGCTAGAAAGATGGGAAGAGGTATGAAAATCTTTTCCCCTGGAACCTTGGGAAAGAGCATGGCCCCACCACCTTTATTTCAGACTGCTAGCCTCCAGAACAGCGAGATTTAAAAAAAACAAAACAGCCAGGCTCGGTGGCTCAGCCTGTAATCCCGCGCCTTTGGGAGGCTGAGGTGAGTGGATGGCCTGAGCCCGCGGGTTCGAGACCCGCCTGGGGCAGCGAGACCTCATCTCTACAATAAATCAAAAAATCAGTCGGGCATGGTAGCGCATGCCTGTAATTCCGGCTACTCGGAAAGGCTGAGGCGGAAGGATCACCGGAGCCCAGCAGGTCGAGGCTGCGGTGGCCGGGAGCAGCCACTGCACTCCAGTCTGGGTGACAGAGTGAGACTCCAACTCAAAAAAAAAAAAAACTACTGTTGTTTTGGTACTTGGGCTGAAATCTTAATCTTTGCTTTTGATCTCCCCCTTTGTTCTATGGTGTTTTTCTTTTCTTTTTTCATTTTGCTATATTGATTTAATGTTTTCGTGGTACTATTTTCCTCTCTATTAGCTTGATATTTGCACACTTATCATTTTAGTGATGAGGATGACTATGCCTATCCCCAACTTGTCAAAGTCAACTTTCCTAGTTGAAGTTGTGACTCGTTGTTCATAGCTGATATTCACAGTGGTGAGCATGGTACCCAGTGAGTGGTTTTGTATCCCTTACAATGAGAGTCTCCATCTGCATCCACCAAGTTGGTGGTACTCTGTTACAGCAGCCCTAGTAAACTATCATAGAACTAGAGAAAGAGAGCAGATGACAGAGTAGGAAGGTTATAGGGAGGTCAGTGGCAAAGAACCAGAGACTGAAATTCTAAAGAAAATATTTGGAGCAAAGGAAAAGATGATGTCACCAAAACCCCAAAAACCAAAAATAGTTGATTGGGTTCCATGATGATACGTCCCCTGATACCTCACCATTCTCACCACTACTCCCTCCTGCTTTCTAAGGGCCCTGTAATATTTTTGGTCAGCAATGCCCAAGTAAAAAGAAAAAAGTTGCAAGAGCTAAGAAAGAGTTGACGTGAGCTGCTGATAGGAGTGAAACGCACACCACTGTGAACGTCAGTTATGAACTGTGAGTCACAGCTTCAACTGGGAAAGTTGACTTTGTTAAGCTGAGGATAGACATGATCAACTCTAATCACTAAAATAGTAAGACAGTATGCAAATATAAAGCTAATAGAGGGGAGATATAGAATCACAAAAACATTAAAATGATATAAAACAAAAAGTTAAGAAAGAAGAGGAAAACAGCATAGAACAAAGGGGGAGATTAAAAGATTAAGACTTAACCCCAAATATAGCAGTAATTGCATCAAATAGAAATGAACTAAACAATCCAACTAAAAGACAAATAATTGTATTATTAAATCAAAATAAAACATACTATATACTTGCGACTAGAGACATATCTAAAATAAAAGAATACAGAAAGCTTGGAAATAAAAAGATGGAAAAATATATGCCATGGAAACACTAAAACATATTAAACTGTCTGTAATTGGTCCCTCTGAAACAGATCTGAGAATATATTTGAGAATGCAGTGTATTCATTCACATAGTGTGTCTTCTGTTGCTTATAACAGAATACCCAAAACTGGGTAATTTATCAAGAAAAGAAATTTATTTCTTACAGTTCTTAAGACTGGGAAGCCCAAGGTCAAGGAGGGCACATCTGGTAAAAAGCCTTCTTGCCAGTGGGGACATTCTAGAGCCCCAAGACAGTCTTGGGCATCACATGCTGGGGGGATAAGCACGCTTAATGTGCTGGCCTAGGTCTCTCTTCTTCTTCTTATAAAGCCACTAGTTCTCCCCACCCATGATATGTCATTCATCTAATAACTCATTAATTAGTTAACCAATGAATCCATAAATTAATCCAATCATGAGAATGCAGCCTTCTGGATCCAATCACATCTTAAAGGCCCTATCATACAATAATGCCACACTGGGGATTAAATTTCAGCATGAGTTTTGGAGGGAACAAGTATTCAAACCATAGCAAATAGAGTATTTGGAAAGTGATTCAAGTTCTGGTAGGAGAATTGGGAAGTGGAGAGGGTGAGAAAAGGGAGAGAAAGAAACTACTACCAGGAGGATTAGTGAGTGGGTAGCACAAAGGACACCTGAGACTTCAATCCCACCGAGGACCTCTGAGAGATGACATAGAATATTCCTCAGAATTGTCCCACCCAGTAAGAATTCACCCTCCAGTTCCCATCTATCACTAAATGAGGATTGCATGGGGCATCTTTCTAGAACTTTTGGCCTGCCTTTCCTGCCCATGAGTCATGAGTGATTGTAGTGGGAAGCCATCAGTGTGCACAGCAATGGCAAGTGACAAAGAAATATAAGCAGGATCTTCTACATAGTTACAATAGATTGTAAGGGGGAAAGCATTCCTAGAGGTAAAGGAGAGTGCTTTATTTTTAACTTATATAAATTTATGGGGGCACAGGTGCATACACAGATTTTGGCTCATGCATAAACTGCATAATGATCAAATCAAGGCTTTTATAGTATCCATCATCTGAATAACGTACATCACACCCATTAAGTAATTTCTCATCCTTTACCCCCTCCCACTCTCTCACCCTTCTGTATTGTCCCTCATTCCACTCTTTACATCTATGTGTACACATTTTTTAGCACTCACTTATGAGTGAAAATATACAATATTTGTCTTTCTGCTTCCAACTTGGTTCACCTAAAATAGTGTCGTTCTGTTCATGTGACTTCAAAAAGACATTATTTCATTCTTCTTTTATGGATGAATAGCATGCCATTGTGCATATATGCCATATTTTCTTTATCCAATCAGTCCAATAATGGACACTTAGGTTGATTCCATATCTTTGCTATTGCAAATAGTGCTATGATAAACATAGAAGTACAGGTATCTTTTTGATATATGGACTTCTTTTCCTTTGAGTAGATACCCAGCAGTGGAGCTGCTAGGTCAAATGGTAGTTCTATTTTTAGTTCTTTGAGAGATCTTCATACTGTTTTCCATAGAGTTTGTACTAATTTACATTCTCACCGATAGTGTATAAGCATTCCCTTTACTCCACATCTTCACCAGTATTTATTATTTTCATGGTTTTTTTTCTTCTGACTGGTGTAAGATAATAACTCATTGTAGTTTAATTTGCATTTCTCTGATAATTAGTGATTTTGAACATTTTTTATATACCTGTTGGCCATTTGTACATCTTCTTTTGAAAAATGTCTGTTCATGTCCTTTGCCCAATTTTTTTGAGTCTGGATCTCACTCTGTCTTCCATGCTGAAATGCAGTGGCACCATCACAGTTCACTGCAGCCCCAACTTCCTGGGCTCAGGTGATCCCTCCACCTCAGCCTCCACCATGCCTGGCTAATTTTTTTTTTTTTTTTTTTTTTTTTTTTTTGCAGACACAAAGTCTCAATATGTTGTCTAGGCTGATCTCAAACTCCTAGGCTTATACGATCCTCCTACCTTAGCCTCCCAAAGTGCTGTGATTATAGGCATGAGCCACTGTGCCTGACCCTGCCCACTTTTTTAAAGATTATTTGTTTTTGTCATTGAATTCTTTGAGTTCCTTGTAAATTCTAGATATTATTCCTTTGTTGGATGAATAGTTTTCAGATGTTTTATCCCATTCTGCAGGTTGTCTGCTGATTTTTTATTTTGCTATGTAGAAGATTTTTTCTTTTAATTAAGTCCCATTTGTTTATTTTTGTTTGTGTCTCCTATATTTTTGAGGTCTTAGTCATAATTTCTCTGCCTAGCCCAATGCCCAGAAGAGTTTTCTCTAGGTTTTCTTCTACTATTTGCATAGTTTCAAATCTTACATTTAAATTTTTAATCTATCTTGAGTTAATTGTTGTATATGGTGAGAAATGGAGGTTCAGTTTCATTCTTCTGCATATGACAACCCAATTTTCTTAGCACTATTTGCTGAAAATGGTGTAAGAGGGATGCTTTATAAAGATAATAGTTCCAATTCACAGACATACAACAAATATAAATTCATATGCCCCTAATAACATAGCATCAAAATATATAAGGCAAAAACTTGACAGAACTTAGAGGGAAAATAGATGAATACATAATCTTAGCAGTATCGTAGCAATATTTTACCAAAGATTTGAACAGCACAATAAAGAATTTGATTTAATTCACACACAGGAGATACCTAACTGCAATATACACATTATTCATTGCTTAATATTACATTCAAAATGTTATCTGACCACAACTCAAGCAAGCTAGAATTAATACCTAACAGACAACTGAAAATTTCACACCCTTGGAAGTTAAAGAATATTTCTAAATAACCTATAAATCAAAGAAAAATCCAACAGAAATTAGAAAATATTTTAGCTAATATAATGAAAACACAAGGGGGCCCAGAAAAACCAGAATTCTCTTTCGAGGGGCAAGCCTCTTGTAATGCAGGCTTTCCCCACTGGGTCAGTGTTCTGGGAACATATCAGCATCAGTATACCAGCTAGCGTTGTTGTGGGAGGCCACATTTAGCTTCAGTGAATTTTTTTGTAAGATTCTTTCAACACATTTTTCCATTTCATGATGGGTAATTTACAAGTGGGCCCGCCCACACTGTGCTGAGTGTTCAGCAGTTTTTGACCATGCTCCACCCTCTCTACTCACCCGATCTCACCCCAAGTAATTTTTTTTGTTTCTCCGGATGAAAAAAGTCCTCAAAGGGAAATGTTTTGCCAGTGTGGAAGAGGTGAAACAAAAAACAGCAGAAGCACTAAAAGGCATCAAAATGGACAAATTCAAAAACTGTTTTGAGCAGTGGAAAAAGCATCTCCATAGGTGTATTGCATCAAATGGAGAGTACTTTGAGGGTGATTTAAGTTTAAACATGAAAGAATAAATACACATTTTTAAATAAATAAATTTCAGTTTTTCAGGGTCCCTTCATATAGCACAATAAAATTTATCATATGCAATTAAGGTTGCACTTAAAGAGAAATGTATAGCCTTAAATGCAAATTAAAATAACATTCAGGCCAGGTGCAGTGGCTCATGCCTATAATCCCAGCACTTTGGGAAGCCAAGACAAGAGGATCACTTGAGACCAGGGGTATGAGACCAGCCTATGCAACATAGTGTGAAAATAAAAATTTTTAAAAAGTAGTCAGGCATGGTGGCATGCACCTGTAGTCAGGAGGCAGAGGCAAGAGGATTGCTTGAGTCCAGCAGTTTGAAATTGCAGTAAGCTATGATCTGCCATTGAACTCCAGCCTGAGAGATAGAGTGAGACAAGTCTTTAAAAAAAGAAAAAGAAAAAGATTCAGACTTGGTCACTTACCAGCTGTATCACCTCAGGTAAAATCATATTCTCTGCTAAACTTTGTTTCTTCACTAACACAACTCAAGGTACCAGTAACTACTTGATAGAGATTTTTGCGAAGACTGAAGATGTTCATATACAACATTTTTAACCCTGCAAAAGGCCCATTAAACATTCGATAAATTTTGTTGTTATTCCCAGCAGCTGCCCTTCCCAGGTTTAAGAAAACGGTTATAAGAAGCCCAGAGCTCATGCTCCACATTCAGAGAATTCTTTAAGATGAGAAAATCAAAACAATTGTCTTCCACCTCTAGATTTGAGCCCCTTACACCCATGATTTGCAGAGGGGCTGCCGTGACTATGCTGTGACATAAGGAAGAAAAGGGGAAGAAAAGGAAGGATGCCTTTCAGTAGAACCGAGGTGCCTCAGTAAGAACCGAGGCATTCCTATCCACAGCACTTGAAAACACTCCGTGCCAGCACAAATGCCAACTTAGAATAATAAGAATACTTTGGTTGCCTCACCCCGTTACCTCCTCCCTACCTTTCCCATATCCCTCCTCCACATGTCCTTCTATAAGAGTATGGCATTCTCTCTTGTTTTCCTCTGCCCTTGTTGTATTGCCTCATCTATCTTACTTGATTTCATCTGGTGAAACAGGGTAGAAAGATTAAAGGGCCCTCAAGCATAATGTATCCCATCCATTCCTTTTATTTTTGTATATATGAGAAATGACTTGGCTCAAAGTCTTTAACAGGACAGGTCTAGAATCCAGTTCCCAGTTCATTATTGTTCCCTCAACTGCATGATGCCTCTCCAGTAGCTCTGGCCTCTGAATTATCTCATCTTCTGCAGAGAATGGAACTCCTATTTAATAGATAGCTTTGAACCATGTATTTGATTCCCATGGTTGGTGTAACCAATTACTATTAACTTGGTGGCTTGAAACAGCACAAATTTATTCTCTTACATTTCTGGAATCCGGAAGTTTAAATAAATTTCACTGGGATGCAATCAAGGTGTAGGTAGGGTCGTGCTCCCTCTGTAGTCTCTAAGAGAGAATTCTATTCCTTGCCTTTTCCTGTTTCTGGTAGCCATCTGTATTCTGTGGTTTATGACCCCTCCCTTCGTCTTCAAAGCTAGCTGTGTAGCATGTTCTCTCTGTGACTGTTTCCTTCTGTTTCTGTCATATGGCTTTCTGTCTACTATATCAAATCTCTCTCCGTTTCCTTCTTATAAGGACACTTATGACGTCATTTAGTGCTCGCTCATATAACCCTGGAAAATCTCCCCATCTCAAGATTTTTAAGTTAATCACATCTACAGAGTCCCTTTTACCATATAAGGTAACATTCACAGGTTCCAGGGATTAAGACCTGTGTATCTTGAAGGAGGGGGAGTCATTATTCAGCCTACCACATAGTAACTAATTTAATGAAATGGATTTTTTTTAATGGCTTTCAAAGTTGTAACCTTCATAAAAACACTCAAATACACACTGAAAAGATGGGGCTAAGGAAGGGTCAGAGAAAACCTAATACCTGGGGTATAATGAAAGGTCTAGAAAATATCTTTGATTTTATTTGGATCCTAGTTACACAAACCAACTGTATAAAGACATTTTTGAGACAAATGGAGACATTCGAATATCTATCAATATTGTTAGATATGATGATGGAATTATGGTTGTGTAAGAAAATGTCCACATTTTTAAGAAGTACATAACAAAACTTGTAGTGGTGGAATGACATGAGGTCTGGAATTTGCTTTAAGATGCTTCATCAAAAAGTGAGATAAACCAGTCACAAAAAAACAAATACTGTGTGATCGCACTTATGTGTGGAATCTAAGAACGTTGAACTCACAGTAGAGAGTAGAGTAGGGATTATCCTAGGCTAATGGCAGAGGGAAGAATGGGCAGTTGCTGGTCAAAAAGTACAACATCTTAGACAGAAGGAATAAGTTTTGAGATCTATTACACAGCAGGGTGACTATAGTAAATAATAATGTATTCAGAATAATTAAGAGAGTATATTTCAAATGTCTCACCATAAAACATGATAGGCCGGATACAATAGCTCATATCTATAGTCCCAGCACTTTGAGAGGCCAAAGCAAGAGGATTGCCTGAGCCCAGGGATTCAAGACCAGCCTAGGCAACTTGGCAATACCGCATTTCTACAATAAATACAAAATATTGACCAAGCATGGTGGCATATGCCTGTAGTTCCAGTTACTTGGAAAACTGAGGCAGAAGAATGGTCTGAGTCCAGC